ACCTACGAAACTTTAACTTGTTATCCCTTTATAATGCATATCACCACCAACGTTCTGGTCTGAAATTGTGACAGAAATAATGACTTTAAAAGTTAATTAATATCAATTACGATTTGATTAATTACGACTTGAATATTAAATTACAATTTCTAATCATTTTCTCTTTACAAGAGTGATGGCAGCGAAAACATCATGTAACTTAACTATGTGATCAATTATTACTTCAATAAACATATTTCTCTGAGGTACAAAATGAAAATAAAGCATTTTTGGAACTACGTGCTGTTTCTATGCTTCGTATAACATGTGGCCTTTTTAAGAAACTTAACGACAAGAACTAGTAGTGAACAATCTAAAGCTTTTGTTGTGATAATTACCATCTGTGTCCATAGCCACAATACTTAGGACATTGCAAATTGTGGCTGTCTTTGGAAAAATTGCAGATCATAAATATTGAAGAACCAACGAAAGCAAAGAATATCTTTTCCAACTCCCTACATCCCTGTAGTCCCCTCACTGGGGGTTGCTAAAGCCAATTATTTTGTTCCAAGAACATCCTTTTGTGAAGGCACCATCCCTGGGCAAATTGAGGAAGAAAGGAAATTGAGTGGCAGCTATTATTAGATTACAGAGAAACCGACTGAACTCTTTTTTTTACAAAAAAGAAGAACCATGCCTAAAAGCAAATTGCCCAATACTTCTCCTCTCTATCTCACTGATATTTTATTTTCCACTAATAACTATGTCTTCTCCAATTTGCGAAGGAGTAGAAGAAACTGTTCAGAGGCGATATTTTAGCGGCAAACTTTTTAAATTCATTTCAACAAGAAAGGAATGCAATCTGTAATTGAGTTACAGACTGTAGAAGAAAATGCTGATTAATATTCAAAGTTACTTGAGAATTCGTCAGCTCCAATATTAAAGTGTGTTTTGAAAGGCGTTTTAGTGAATCGTGTATTAGGGACAAATCTTTCTTTTCTTTGCAAATATTCCGTGCGTGCTTGCATTTACCATACGTGTAGTAAATAAAATATTTATATTCAATCGATTATTTGATTGTGGATGAAGATTTTTTTATAGGAATTAAATTAGGTCAAATTGAGGGATTAAATAAATAAAACAAGTAATATAAAAAATTTCGTTTTAAAGTCAATCCCTACTTTTTTAATACGCTTTTATTAGCTGCACCTGTATGTTTGTATGTTTGTATGTAACTGACTTTTTCCCCTGGAGATCTGTTTCTCCTCATATACACTATTTAAGCTGCAAAGAAACATTTACAGGCATCTTTCAGAAAGAAAACAGTTGATTCTTTTTAATACGCTATTATATTAGTTTCACCTGAATGTTTGTTTGTTTGTTTGTTTGTTAAACTAAAAAGTAAAAAATAAATTAATAGTTTAAAAAAACTAAAAAACTCGCTTTTAGAGTTAACCAAATTAAAAAGTAAAAAATAATTGTTAACCTTAAGAATAAAATGACTGACGAGAAAATGAATGTCACTGTTCTAAAAGCGTGGGGTGCTTTGTATGACATTTTAAAACTAACTCTGCATTTCGAATGAAATGAAACTAGTGAAAAATTATAACGATTGATATCGAGCACCCCACGCTTTTGAACAGTGACATTCATTTTCTCGTCAGTCATTTTATTCTTATGTTAACAATTATTTTTTACTTTTTAATTTGATTAACTCTAAAAGCGAGTTTTTTAGTTTTTTTAAACTATTAATTTATTTTCACTATATTGCAGAAAAATCCTTTACAAATAATTTTCATTCATTCTTTTAAGTTTATCTGGTGCCATCTGTTGGTAGATATATGCAATTTAAATCTAAAAAAACTAAAATTAATTAAATAAATTTAATTACTGAATTAATATTTGAAAAAACTGTATTAAGATAAAAAAAAATGTATTTGAACTTGAGTGAATGAATAAAAAGTATTTTATGAACGATTGAAAATTTGAACAAGGTATATATAGGGAGAGTGTGAGCTAATAGAAAGAATTGAATAAAATGAATTAATTTATAGTTATTCCTTGTAAACCTATCTGTTGATTCTTCTTCGTGTTTTACGAGAACCTACGAAACTTTAACTTGTTGATCACTTTAATGTATGTATATATCCACCAATGTTCAATCTAAAATCATTCTTCTGGTCTAAAATTGGGACAGAAATAATTAATGACTTTGAGAGTTAATTAATCTCATTTACGTTGGCGAAAAATCCAGTTAGGCAGTTCGATTGTCAATTACCACCAGAGGAAATCGTGCTTTGCCGTGCCATCAGCGAAATCGTGCCACAGAGGAAACCGAACTCTGCACGCTAATAAGCAAAACCACAGGCTATGAATTAAGTTTTCCAAATAGTTCGCTATTGTAGAATAGCAACGATTTATCAAATTCAGCTTTTGTCTGAAAGGCTTGATACAATGCACCTATATTTCACCAACACAATTTTGAACGGACACCCCACATAGATAGCAGGCGCTGATGACCGAGTAACAAGCGCTCTGGCACTACCTTTGTTCAATACCTTTGTACAAAGTTACCGTGAACAAGTTTTCAACAAAGTTTATTTTTATATATCAAAATACCAAATTTTATTATTAAAATCTCAGATATAACTATTATTTAAATACGAAACATACAGTATAGGAATGTTAGCCTTTGGAAAACGGGATGTTCTTCTACTTGCTTTAAGATTCTATTTGTTTTCGTCCTTTGTCATCTTTGATGTAAAATCTTGACTAGCGCTATAGCTCTTGATGCCACAAGTTTCGGGTTCGAGTTCAGGCGGTGCCTTGGATGTTTGTAGTGGTTCGGAATCCATTTTAAGCCATAAGTCCCGGCCTAATATGACTGTAAAGCGTTGGACGTAGGGCTGACAATCCTACCCTGTAAAAAAATCAACGTCACGGAGTGAAGTCAGACTTCCACCTGTGGGTGCTCCATCACAAGAAAAGCTGCCTCCTTTCTCTTCAACCATGAAACCACACGAGTTTGTGGGCTTGCTGTAGATGTCGCTGTCTACCAAGTGGGATAAGAAACAACAACAACAACATATATAGCATCTGAAGAGTTCGAACCCCGTTTCAGGTGTCCAACAAGATTTAACGATTTACAGATTTAACGAGTCTATCCATGTTCATAGATAAAAACAAACCTTTTTTTTTTCCCTTATCCCGCTTGGTAGACAGCAACATCTAGACCAAATCCAAGGACGGAAATGGTTTCATGGAAGGACGGAAAGGGTAGGTGGCAGCTTTTGTTGTGACGGAGTATCCTTGGGAGAAGTCGGACTTGACTCCGTAACGCTGAAGGAGGGGCAGTGCCTTTCGGGAGGACTTTTAGAGGGAACTACACCACATTTGTGTATCGTATGGGAGAAAAACCCGGAAATCTCCCACCAGGTAGATCGACTCACGAGGCAAGTTGCTGAACATCACAAACGCCATCGACCCTCCTCGTCTTTTAAAACAGTATCTGCAACAAAGTCTACAGCAGGCTGAACCTCCGCCCTAATGCTCACCAGCGACCTATATACAGATTCGCCATCAAATATTCTTGGTGGAATCCCAACACACACTATGTCGCGTAGAGGCCTGATGGCCTATTGGCTATAGCTCTGGCCGTTGGTACCACAAGCTTCAGGTTCGAATCCTGACTGTGACATGAATGTTTGTTAGTATTTCGGAATCCACTTTAAACTGTAGGTCCCGGTCTGTTTGGCCCTCGTGTACAAAAAATGACCGTAGAGCGACAAACCAAACCAAACCTAAACCGGCCAGGTCACCATGAATTATAGACACACGAAAAGAAAATTTCTGACATAAAATGATAAAAAAAAAATTGTCATTTTTATTATTATTTTTCTTTTAATATTCGAAAATAATTTTCTATTTTTAAAAAATTAAATTAAATTATAAAAAAAAAACTAAACTGCGTGGTCAAAATATACTTAAACATGCATTGAGTGGTCACCGAGCGTTTCAGAAACTAGTTTATTTTTGTTGAAATTACATAAATAAACACAATTTATCTTCGCAAATAACTTATTTAGGTTAATTACACAAGCGAGTTTGCGGACGATACGCGTTGATAATAGGGAGTTTTTGCAATTTTGTTACAGGACAGCATTTTTCTCCCTAGCGCGCATGCTCATAGGAAACTGAGCACGCGCTGGAGGGAGAAAAATGCTAACGGACGTCCTACGGTAACAAACTTACGGTATGCAAAAACTCCCTAATAATAAATTGGATGAACAGAGCTGCTTTATCTTAAAAAGATAAAATGTAAATAATCCGTGCTTTGTATATAATTCAAGGTCATTGCCAAGGTTTACGGAGATTGCTTAATCAAAACAATAATAATCAATAGTTCCTCTATCTCTTACGTCATTTGGATTTTATCAAATAATAATAATCTTGGTAGTTATGAGAGTATGATAATACTGTAATGGTAATAATCATTGATTATTTTAGGTTTAATTGTTTACTATCATTTAATGTAATAATATTTTTTTACTATCTGTTAAATGAAATTACAATTAGATTCTTCTTTTCTTTTAAGTTAGATGATTTTGCATAGTATTACATTTTTTTTTTTTTTTTTTTTTTTTTTTTTTTTTTTTGAATATTTTTTCAAGTCTGCATAATATTTTTACATTTCTGCATAGTATTTTAAAAATTTCAGCGTAGTATTTTTATGTTTGTTTTTTGTTGTTTCTTATCCCACTTGGCTGGCCAAGCCCACGAGCCCATACGTGCTCATAATTGAAGGGGAAGGAAGCAGCTTCTGTTGTGATGGAGCACCCGTAGGTAGAAGCCTGACTTTTGCTCCGTGACGCACTTACAGTCATAGGAGACAGGAACCTACGGCTTACAGTGGATTCCGAACCACTACAAACATCCATGGCACCGCCGGGATTCGAACCCGAAACCTGTGGCATCGAGCGCCAGAGCGCTAGACACTCGGCCATTCAGGTCCCAAATTTGCCAACGGCACGCAGTGTTCCCAGGTGGTCACCCACCCAAGTACTGACCGCGCCCAATGATGCTTGACTTCGGTGATCTAACGAGTATTTTTATAAATTTTGCATAGTATTTTTTTTAAATTCGGCACAATATTTCAACATTGTATTTTTTAAAAAGTTTGCTTAGTATTTTTTTTGTTTCTATTCTATCATTGTATTTATGTAGCTCCCAAACTCATTTGACTACTACTACTACTATACCACACTACATCACTGTGCTTTTTCAGTTTGGGAATGATGTGTGTGAAAGAAGTCTGATTGGTCTCTACTACCATATGAGACCGTCACCTACGGCTTAAAGCGGATTCCGAACCTCTACAAACATCCATGGCACCTCCGGGTCTCGAACCCTGTGTCACCGAGCGCCACAGCGCTAGCCACTGGACCATCAGACCCCCAGTTTCATTTGACTGTTGGGCATAGGGCTGACAATCTTACCTCGTAAAAAGAAAACATCTAGAAGTCTGTCAGCGACCCGACAGCATTGCTCACCATGGTGTTACGCCATTGATGATGATCTGTCTTTTCTTGGTGAAACAAGATTATCGGAGATTGATCAGATAGCAATCCTCGAGTTCGTGAGAAATCCTCCTACCATCTACCATTTAAAATGAAATTGCTTTCTTTTAAACATGTAAAATCCATTTAGAATTATCCTAATACCAGAAAACGTTACTTCACTGCAATAAAATAGTTTACCCAACAACATTACGACATGCAACTATAAAACCATACTAAATATTTTTATTTTCTTTACAACTAACGATTTAAACTAAGTAATAAAAAACAAATTTGAAATTTCTTTTTATTATTCTCATGTCCATTTTACCTTCACGTTCTAATTAATACGAAACTCTTAAGACTCAAAAAAGAAAAAAAAATCTATACATAACATCTAATTCTCATTCTGAAGAACTAAATGAGAATGGTTAAACGAAAGAACTAGATTCCGAGATTCGTTTCATTATCACGCGCGCCTTTTTTTTTCTTTCTGCCCCACAAACTAGTTCTGAATGTCAAAGGATAAGAAGCAAACTGTTGTTGATTGGGATGCAATTTTAAGAGGGAAACTTTTCTCAGGATGAAAAGGAAGCTTTTGGAACAGAAACAGTTCCTCGGGGCCTCCAGACATCGTGGCTCTCCCTTCATTGGGGTTGGCACGGTCAACACTCCTCAGAATGTTCGACAACCCCATTTCCATCTTCTATTTGTTTATTTCTGGATAAATAAATTTGTTACACATCTGCCAATATGTGAACAATTTTTGCCAAAACTAATTGTGAGATTTTTATGGAATTTATTTAATTCAATAAGAGTTAATTTTGAATTTTTAAGCCTTCTTTTTTCCTCGATGATTTTATATTCGTATATATTTGATTTACCTCACACTCAATTCTGTTTATATTTATGTAAATTCGAGATAATCCTGGTTTAATATTCGAGAAAATAAATGTTAAACACAGGTGTTCTTCTTTTTGATAGATGATACAAATATCATATATATATATATCCTAAATATAGGTGTTCTTATTCAATGGCGCGCAGCCTGATGGCCAATTAGATAGAGCTCTGGTCCTTGATACTACAGGCGTCTGGTTCGAAACTCGGCGGGGGCCTGGATGTTTTTTAGTGGTTCGAAATCCACTTTAAAATGTAGGCCCCGGTCTAATTTGCCTAAAGTGTGCAAAAAATGGCCATAGAGCGATAAACCAAACCAAATCTTCAATGGCGCGTCAGCCCAATGGACCAAGACGTCAGCCTCTTGATAAATTCCGAAACATGAGATTTCTTTTTTCGGGATTGGGGTGTCAGCCATACGCCCAAAGCTCTACAGCCATATTAAAACGGGACCTATGGTTTAAAGTAGATTCCGAACCACTACAAACATCCATGGTACCTAGCGCCAGAACTCTAGAAATGCAGATGTTATGGAGAGCAATATATGTATGAATATATCAATTTGTTATAGGCCAAGGCCATCTGAACAAGCTTTGTCCGTCCAAGATTGATTTTCAGTCACAATTCGCCAAAGATTGATTTTCAATGTCTTGAGATCTGCTTTTACTCAGTCTATTCGTCTTATACGAGGTCTACATTTGCAAAAGATGTATATTATTAATGTTTTCGAATGTCAGACATTTCGACTTAAGGACATTTGTCACTAGACTGACAGATATAGCAGATACAGTGTTACCCAGGATGTAACAGGAGGATGTGTAACAGCTCACCTATATTTTGCCACCACAATTTGATAAAAGCATATCATTAGGAGGCTTTTTTGTGGTTAACACCATCTATCTTTTTCCGGCCTGCGTTCACGTTCCTCTCCGATATATACATGAGAGCTTTTGTTTTGGCTGCTGAGTTTACACATTCATTTGGCAAGTATGCATATAGTATCTTAGTATCATAACGTCTCAATACCCTAAAGTCATGATTTTTTTTTTTTTTTTTTTTTAGAAATACTGTAAGGTGATTTTATTTAAAAAATTCTGATAAAAAACATAACTAAATAATTTGTGTTGTTCTTCCTTTAGATTCATTTATTTCAAACGTACCTCTTATTTATGTAGGTTTAAGCCGCTTGCAATAGATGCATCCCAGCCGAACCTACAGTTTTGTTAGACTTCTCTACCAGTCTAAACAAAGCTGAACTTTTGAAGTGGGTGTCTAGGGGTGTATTTCAAAACACATTAACGAAACGTTGTTTTCTCTCAACAACACATATTTAATGAAGCACGATTATATGTACAGTGATATTTACATTAACAATTAACTAAAGGACAGCACCGTCCATTCTCTCTCAGCTTGACGCAGCCTCTCCAATCCGTTCTCCTTCAGTTAGCGTTTTCTTTTTCTTCTTCATCTACGGGGATCTTGCCCCTTCTCGAGGGTCAGAGTTCAAAGTTGAATACTCCCCCACATCGTAAACAGACTCTGTCAAAGACAAACGGCCGTAGGTTGTCGCCGCCTGCTGATTACGACAAAAACAAATCCTACATTTAAATGAAATTTCCCCTAAAAAAATTTCAAAAATTTCAACATTCAAAAAACACACAAAAATCAAGGACGTTTACAAATGCGTTTCTTTTGTTGTATTTCTTCACACACATTCTGAAAAATGTGTTATATTTCTTGTCTTTTTTTTTTCTACTTACAGTCCACAATAATGACGTCATCAATTCAAAATAGATTATTCATTCATGGATATTTTTTTTCTTTCTTTCTTGAATGTTGAATTTTTCGAATGACATTGCAGAAAAACAGTCTCGAAGAATTGTCGTCATTGCTGACCAGACTCAAAAGTGTGCGTTTCTTTCATCGAAAAATATGTTCTATTGGATGCTTTATTCTTCAAAAAGAGAAATCAGATTCATCCGGAACTGTTTTAAAAAAAATTAGCTTCTGTTTCAAGAAAATACAAAAGCAGAATCGCTGGAAAAAGAAAATAAATTAAATTAAGAACTGAATTTAAAATTTCATCATAAAAAATATATGAAAAAAATAAACTGATTATTAGTAAACTCTTTTTTGCCATCAAATCCAATTTCGTTTCATTTGCTTATATTCGCTTTTAATAAAATATTTTCTTAAACATTTCATACCGATAATGGATTTTCTTCAAAAGGATACATAATTTCACATCTTACTCACGAATCATATTCAAGTCAAAATAAAAATTGCTTTGTTTCAGAAGTTGGATAGTATAAACAAATTAACTCAAGAATAAGAATTTCAGAACAGAATTCAATCTTCTCCAGGGAAAAATATCAGCAGTTTAATAATAAATTGCTTTTAATAATGAATTAAATGTAATCGTATTTGGTTATACTCGCAAATATCCTAAACATTTCATACCGATAATGGATTTTCATCAAAATGATAACTTCCAATTTCATTTACGAAACATATTCAAGTGAAAATAAACAATGCTTTATTTACGAAGTTCAGCAACATTCATCTATAAATAAAATAACACAAGAATAAGAATTTCAGAACAGAATACAAACTTCTCAACGATTTATTAATTAACTGTTTTTAATAACAAATTAAATTTACTCTTATTTGCTTATACTTGCTTTCAAAGAAGTATTTCCTAAACATTTCATACCGATAATGGACTTTCATCAAGTATATATATATATATATATATACTGCAAAGTTATTATACTGCGACTTTACGGAGGCTCTGCGGAGATTTGGAGTGGAGTGCGGTGTTCTCCTGTTTTTCTCAACGCAAATAATATTTGGCAGTTACCCCTTAAAGTCGCACCAGAAGGAAATATGCATCCATCATCAACTAATGGTAAGCTGTTCGTGGCATACATAAATTCCCACCGAAATTTATTAAAATAAATAAATAAAAATAAAAACAATAATATTTTAAAGAATGAAATAAAGGTATAAAAGCAGACATTTATTTTCGAAAACATTTTGAAAACCTGATTTTAATACGAACTGAGCAATGTTCCATCACTTAATGCAAATTTAATTTTAACTATTTTTAATATTCCAAACAAGGACATTTTTAAAAAAAAACACAACTCATTTTGTTGTATACATACATCATTTGTGCACAAGGAATAGTTGAAATTACAAATGCTTCAATACATACATATATATATTGTGAAGGTGAAATTGGCAATAAAATAAATTAGCATTGTTATCCGGACAAAACAGAACGGAATCCGCATTCAATAAAAACACAAATTTCCTGCAAGCACAACAATAACTTAAAATTACGCTCTTATCTCATAGTTGGTAACGATAATTTCTTTTTCAGAATTGGAATTTGCACAGCTGTGCATATTTACATCTCCTTCATTCCATAGATAATGAATTTGGTGCCATACCGGAAATGGCTGAGCAAAATTTACACGTGGCGAGATTTACATACAAAGGCAAATGCGGCTTCCATGGCCGTAAAATATAGCGGGATGTTTACATTTAGTCAGGAGTCACCTTAGTTGCCTTTTTTATTATTCTTTTTTCCGCTGTCTTTTTTGCAGATGTAATGGGAATTAATTTGTGGAGAGATGAATGTTA